TATTATTATTTTTTTTTGGTGTGTCTGGAATACCATCGCTTGAATCTTTCAAATATTTTTGTTATTTTTTAAAGAATTTTTTGGAGGATTCGGCCTATCTTATTTTTGATGAATTTGTGAAGAAAATTCTGCTTTCACGCCAACATTTCTTGGTTTCTTCGTTCCATCAAACCAAATTGGGCTTCCTTCTAAACCCAAACTGTTTGCCCCGAAATCCACCAGTACCATTATTTCTTTACAAATAATAAAATGATAATGTGTGGTTTTTAATAGGTTAAGTTCTCTTGGAGACTAATCATAAAGATTACAAAGTTTTTGGTATTAAATGGAATAAAAGTGGTGGCTAATGCGAAACTACAAACTAAGTTAAATTATCATACTCTTAGGAATGCAAGTAAAGAGATAAAAATTTAAGATATAATTTGTTGGATTGATCATAATAATAAAAATTACTACCTCAGTTTCCAAAATATTATCTATCTTTTTATTTATATTTGTTCAAAAATATTTGCCTTCTCAAAATTTTAAATAATATATATTTTTGAATACTTTTCATTAATAAAGAAAATCAATTCTTTTTTTCATTTTTCATTCTTCACTAACAAAATATCAATATCTTTAGGAGTAAAATATTTTTATGTTATTTTTCTATAATTATTTTAAACTTGATTGTTAATTAAATTAATTATTTTTTATTTGATTTATCACTTTAATTTGGATAGATTTTTTTAAAAAAATTAATATTGATTCCATGTAATACATGGTTGAATTCAATAACTAATAATTTTAACAAAACGAGTATTTTTTAAAAATATGAAAAAAAACATTGATATAATATAAAAATTAATAATTTTTCAAAACGGTCTGAAAAATCTAATGAGCGATATTTTGGGGGAAAAAGAGAGTATAACGTATGTATTCGTTATTTACAGTGGAAGACTAACAAATACCGTACTGATAATGACGAATTAACGTTCTGAACATTTAACTATTTAATCCAATCAGATTGCCATGTGACAACACAAGATTTTGCCACTTGTCCTGTTTTATAACTCACATTTTTCTTGATTAAGCTTTTAGATCATATTATATTATATTGTTTTGTCTAGTTGTGAAGAAACTTTGATTTGCGTTTGCCCATTTAATTATCTTGCCAAACAAATCCACTGGCAGAAAACCTGCCTTATATATTTAGTCTTGTCAAACAGTATACTTATGCTATCAATAAACTTAACATGTCTGTTCTTACCTGGTGAATATAAGATATTAACGATACGAAAATACGAATTATAATTTTTAACAAAGGTGGGGTAAATATATAGCATCGGCGGGTTAGTAGAAGTACTTAGCGTGTTAGCTAGTTATTGGCTCGTACGATCATAAGGTGTATATATATATATAGAGTCCAGATAGCGAAGGTGATTTTGCGTAAGAAATCTGAAGACGATTGATTTGAATTTGTGTACTACACTTGGCAGCAGAAAGATTGTAGTAGCTGTTATCGGCGGCTGATGATGTGTGTACGTACACTTGGCAGTGGAACACACCTTAGAAGTTGTATGTGGTTTGAACATTTGGGAGATCTTCAATTCGGTCCATCTGACCTAAATTTGTCTCTATTTCTTTGATTTAATCATGGACTTGCATAAATTAAGAAGACCAGATCCCCAATTCTGAGATAAGGCAATCTCAATTACCCAATCATGCTAATGATATATGGTTTCCAAAATATCATTGTCAACTCTTTAGGGCTCATCATTCCTTATGGTGTGTATATATATTATGAATCACGCAGCTCCTGTTGGAAACAATATTTATAGCCTATCCATACGTACTGTGCTACCTTTGTCTGCGTGTTTCATAAACTCTACAGTTTTTTCATTTTTAATCATTGTCGACACTTTGAAGATAAAAAATATAGTGATAATAATTGTCGACTCTTGACTTTTATTTTTTTTCATTCTTTCTCAAAAACCCCAAATAATTTAACTGGAAACTAATTCGTCATTTCAGTTATCCCCGGAGAGACGGATTTTATTTTCAAACAAGCCCTTTGAATTATGTAGAAGCAAAATGCCATACGATGAAGAGTACCATTTCATGAAACTAGCTTGTCATGCAAGCTAGCTAATTTCCGTATACTACCAAAATTTCCAACTGTCAATTAGTATGCCCGCAGGCTAGCTAACAGAACTATGCTGCAAACGAAAACGCTTGAAGTTTCCTTAATTTCTTCGTTTCCGACGAAGGGCAACATGATCCCTTGAATCTAAGTGAAGAATTAAGGTGAATTTATGTTCCAAAGGAAAGCGTACATTGTTTGAATACTGAGGAAAGTTCAAAGAAGAGATTGAAAGAGAAGTAAAAATTTAAATCTCTTATATGTTATACGTGCAAAAATTGAACTTCCCTTCTAAACTCGAGGAAGGAGAAAGAAAGAAAGAAACGAGAAAAAAAAAAACTAACTAGAAAAAGAAATAACTAACTTCTAACTAATTAACTAACTGAATTATTTATAACAGAAAATAATTAAGAAAAAATTGCCACGTGTACCTCTCTCAGTATACGTTATATTGAGAGTCTTTTTTAATAAGATATTTTTAATTTTTATTCTCAAATTAAGGTAGTTTTAAACTTATTTTTCAATATGAATGTTTAGTGTATTATTTTAATTTTTTATTGTTGATATTATTATTATAAAAACAAAGAAAAGAAATTCTGTTTCATTTTTTTTCCTTCTTACCCATGATCCTAGTCTTTTCATCTTTATTTCTACGATAGGTTTTCCTCTCTCTCTCTCTCTCTCTCTTTTTTTTTTTTTAAGTTCACAACATTGGTTTTCAAATTAATTATTTTACATAATCATGCGTTTGAATTTGAAACTAAAATCTGTACTTGTATAAACATTTTTGATTCTGTTGATTTTTTAGTTCATAACAATGGCATTCTCTCGTTTTCTAATTATTATTTTGTTTTAACCACAAAGACTAGCATAACTTTGATTTTTTCTCTTATCTAGTGTTGTTAAGATTCATGACTGTTCTTCAAATATATACATATTTTATCTTCTATAAGGTATAATTTTGCTCAAAGAAATTGAATGTTTATTGGTATCAAATGGAGAAAGAAAGGACATGTTTATAACATGTTTTTAGATAATTAAAATGCTTACGAAAGATGTAGATTGATTAAAGTTTTTCCATAAAAAAATTACTGAAAATTAAGATTGCCTTGAAATGAGTATTTGATTTTTCCATTAAATTTGCAAGATGTTTTAGTTGATGAACATTTAATGAAATTTTTAATTAATTCATATTTTATTTAGTTTATGGCATCACGATCTATAATTTGAGATGAAAAAAACATGAAAATCTACCATTTCTATTTGGATATGTTATGAGCCATCCATTACCTATTTTTCATTGGGTTAAGCTGCTGCTTGTTGCTAGAAGAAGTTAAAGACAATGTTTTAGTCTGAAGTATAAATAGATGACATGAGTACCCAAAAGGCAAAATTAAAACTACCCTCTTTAATTTAATAAATAAGATTTAAAATTCCTTAAAATTAAAAATATCCTATTTAAGAAAAAAAAACTCATTATTTTCATATATATATATATATGCGCGCACGCGTAGTTAAATTTTGTTTAATTAATTTGTACAAACGAACCTTTATTTATGATCAAGCGGTTTCGCCCCATGAAATTTAATAAAATTAATAATTACAACTTCTTGAATTGGAAAGAAGTTAAAAAAAGGAGGTTGTTTTGTTTCTAGATTCGAGTCGTTTAATTAATAAAAATGCTAAACTCAAGAACGAAAAGCCTTGTTTAATTAACTAATTAATATATAAGAAATTTTATAATACATAAAGACTAACTAGTGACTTGCATAACAGCTTAACACACACGTATCAATTTATATATATTTTCATTTTTTTTAAAAAAGTTAAATAATAATAATTTGAAAAAAAATAACATAGTCATTTAATCTTCTGCGTTAATTATTATGTAATCATCGGATAAAAAATTTGACGAAAAAACTTGATTATAATTTTAAAAAAATTAATATATTCAAAAATAAAAACAAAATTGTTGTATTCCATTGATAAAAAAATTTAAAATTAGTATACTAATAATATAATTATCTCGATAAACAAACTAAAAACTTATGCTTAGAAAAGAAGTATAAAAAAAAACCCACCCACCGCCCACTTTTCTTCGCACATCAACTTCAAGCAAACAACCTTTCGTAAGCTTTCCACCATCCCATGAGGTGACCTCTTCCTGATTGCGGACCACTTGCGCTATATATATATATATGTATACATATAATTCTCTAGTATTTGATTATGCTTTGTGGTGTCCACAGGCACGTACCAAGTGCCACTTCTTGGTGCCCAACTCTGCCTTATCTCCTTATCTACTTTGTTTTGTTTGGCAACTTCGAATTGTACTATACTAGCCTCATCACTTTGAAGAGAGAGAAAGGTAGGTCATGGCTGTTTCTTTACATCCTCACCTTCCATGGCCATTCTTCTTCCTCTCCTCACCATCATGAGTCTAATTTAACATTATTACAACCGTACAAACAGATAATGCAGCACTACTAAAAGACAAAACACAAGACAGAATTTAAACTTGTTGACTAACTAACTAAACTAAAAATAACTATTCATAAACCGTTTAGCCCACTTCAATTTAATTTGTTACAACTTACCTGTGATCGATCATCATGATCCCTAGTGATGATCACTACAACCCATTTTTGACAATCAACGACTGTTTTCACTCTCTCGTCAAACAGAATCCTTCTGATTCTATTCTGTTTAAACACACCAAGGCCAATAACTATTACTAATTTACTTAATTTCTTCTCCGCCAGAAATTCTCTCCGGCTACACAGATGCTTGGCTAACCGAAAAAGATCTTAATAGACATATTGAAAAAAAAAAATTACAAGCAGTTAATTATAACCGCTAATCAAGGATCTTCTTTTGATCACTCTTCATCAGAATTTTCTGGGTACTTGTTCAAATCAGGTTTCTCTGAAAGAAACACAAGATTTGATTCTTCTGGTGATGCATGGAGAGCTGTTTGTAAAGCATCCACTTTAGCCCCAACTTCAGTGGCTTTCTTGCGTATAGAAGCAGCAGACACGTCACGCAACTCGTCTTCTTGGTATATCAAATCAGGGAAATTAAGCCTGGCAGAAGGCCCTCTCAGATAGAAAACGGCTGTGTCATATGCACGAGCTGCAGCTATTGGTGTTGAGTAGGACCCAAGCCAAATCCTTGACCTCTTGTTTGGTTCTCTAATTTCAGCTACCCACTTACCCCACTTCCTCATCCTTATCCCTCTATATGGCTTCTCTTGGTTTTGTTGCCTGCTATGCTTCCTCTTCTCTGGGCTTGCTGTTGAAGTTGAACTTGAAGCACTTGATGATGTACAACAGTACTCTCCTTCCATGGTTAAATTTAACAAACTAATAGTACTGAGTTATAGATTTGGATTGGTGTTTATAGAAGAAAAACAAGAACCCAGAAAGATTCTGTTTTCAATACTGAAAATACTAAAACGGTTGCTTCATGAGCTATGGTTCTGTTTATATAATAATTATTGTTGGTGCAAAATGTAAAGAGATACGGAGAGGTTAGCTAGAATACCTTAGTTTCCTACTTGGCTGCTAGTCTGTCTTCTGGCACGGCCGCCACGTTGATCTTCCTTTAAGATAAATCCAAATTTGGCCGACATAATCCATCCCCTCTATCTCTCTCCGTCTTTCTTAATTTCATCATATCATAATAACAATAATATATATATTACATGCTATTGTGTGCGCAATGTATAAACGATTAATATATTTTATATGTATAGTCCTCCTCTGTAAATATAAATATATATATGCTGCTGATAAGTATATTTCTGAAGTAATACAAGTGATCTGTGTTTGCTTTCGAGGCTTGGATCAAGTGGGGAACCGATTCGCTTCAGTTATATAACCATCTAATTAAAGAGACGGTTAGAATTTTTGTTTTTTGAAATTTTTTCCGTGGACACACACACACGCGTTTAGAATTGGAAGAACTTTTGTTTTTCTATGTTTTGATCACTTCGATGAGTTTAGGAGGAAGTAAATTATAAATTTGGTCCCTCTCTTTTTGAAAAATAAATTAATGAGTTCTTTTAGCTTTAAAAATTATTTATTTTTTAATTTATTTTAATTTTTTTAAAAAATAAAAAATAAATGAAAATATGGAAAGATTATGAAAAAAAGATGTTTTATAAAATAAAATATAAAATTATCCATGATCAATATTAATTAAAATTATTAAATAGTTAATTTTAATAAAAAAACTAATTAATTCATTCTTCAAAACACAAGGGACTAATTTATAATTTACTCGTTTAAAAGGGCATCATTGAGTTTTTCAAAAAGGAGAAAGGTCGCAGATATAGCAGCTGGTGGGCAAGCGAGTGCCGACGTGTATAGTTGTGCTCCTAGCACGCAAACACTTTAATCATCCACATTCAGGTCTATGGTTCGTCAAGCAGAAAACTTGACCTCCTGTTTGGATAACTACGATACGTTTGCAAGGTGGACATGCGGTCCGAGTGGATTATGCATATTGGAGTCGGCATGGCAGCGCAGATAAATTAATTACACTCCTCCATCGCCGCCAGTATCACGAGGGAAATTTTATGGTGCAATTGTTGTGAACTGTTGTCAGATAGTAACTGAGGAGTATTAACAATAGCTACAGCCGAACTCACATAAAAAAGAGAAAAAGAAAAAGAAATTGACATCATGACCATTTAACTTTTGAAATTATATTATCGGCAAGCTCGTGTTTTTTTTCACTTCTGGGGAACTGGTTGTAACTATAACTATTAATTAGGTACAACACTGCACCGTAAAATTACCCCTATTGCACTAGATTGTTCCCCGTATCTATATCAAGGAGACCACGTTTAAGAGAATTCGTGGCATAAGAATGATTTTAGGCCTAATAGCTTGTGTAATGCGGTTGTTTAAAAGTGTAAAAAAATCCTAATTATTTTTGTATATTTTAATTTTAATGTTGTCCCAAACAAACTACTAATTCTTCCACTCAAAATCACAGTAATTAAAAATTTAACATTGCGTAAAGTCAATTATGAAATAATAGTCGGTGGTGGATGGATGGACGGAGGATGGGAGTGGCAACAACTATTCCGTGCCGCTGTAATAATAGCAATTAAGAGCCCCTCTTAATAAGTCTAAAGTTAAGTTGTTAAATCACCTTTTGATGTCTCTTTTAAGTCTTAATCATCTGATTAAAGTTGGACTCCTTTTATTTCATGTATTTTAGTGCAGAAAGCATGATTTTGGTGAGTTGTCAGATGTGTAATGGTGTGCAGATTACTACCGTGGACTTGTAGTGGTGATGTATTTAACTTCAAAAAGCATTAATAACGAGTGTAAAGAGAAATCATTGCTTAAAAAAAATATCACCGTCTCAATTGACAAACAAACATAAAAATGGAAAGAGTGCAACCAGCTACTTTAGCTCCGTCTTCTTTTCGATCCCTATAGCTTCATTTTTCGCCATTAAAAACTTTAGCTCTGCTTAGCTCTACTGTAGATATTAAGTAGTTTTTTATATATATATATATATATATATAAGTTAAAAGAGTAGAAGTGTTTGATTAAAAAAAGAAAAAAATAAGAAGAGCATATTATCTCAGAAAACAAGCAAATGCTGAATATGAGAGAAACATGTCTCTTGCTTCTTTTATAATCAGCCAGAAATGATGCTTTATTTTTAAGTACAACAAGACTATATAACATACCGGGAGGAATATCTTTGGTTTGATTTGAATTTGATAGTGAATAGGCGCAGCCAAAATAAAAAATCAAATCGATCGAAAGCACTGAATATAAGCAGCCAAATGGATCGAGAACAATCAAAAATCAAATGAAATGAAGCAAATTTTGGGTTTGAGAAAAATCCTATTCTGGGCTTTAATTCAATGAAGACAAGGGGCCAGATTGTCTGTTACAAACACGTGTTAGAATGCAGTAATTCATGGCTAACAATCTCTACAACTCGCTCAAGATATTCTTTCCTTCTTTTCCTTGTATTCTCTTCTCTTCTTTTTCCTAACATTCTTGAAAACATCTCCCTCAGTCCCTCAAACAAGAATCCCTTGTTGGCTGCCTAACTTTGGACTTTCTGAATAAAAAAAATATTTGTTTACTGGGCAGCAACATGGGGAAAAGAAAGGCAACAACTGCCGAAACTTTGAAATTCAGTCGGCAGCAGATAGCAGTATACCTGCAGAGTTGACTCCTACGTCAAATCCTATGATCAAAATCTGCATTGTAAGCGATTTGAACCTTCAATCATAGATGAAATTTTATAATATGAGCAATGTTATATTTATGGCTACTACCCCTTGCTAGTGCTCAACATGGAAAAACTTGGTCGCGGTATAAATTCCTAGAATTCTGTTCAGGATGCTTGTATATCTGCAATCTAAAGTCTAAACCATGGTATGACAGAAGTACAACGAAAAAGGATCAAAAGCCTGTATAGGGAGGTTCGTGTCAGTTTATCTGCTATCTACAACATCAGTGTGCAAATTATTATGTGAAATCTCAGCCTTTCCATTCAGATGGTCTCGCGATTATTCATTGGTCACTTCTAGAGCATTTTGGCAGATACAAATGCGGGCTGCATAATCCTTAGCAATCCAATTCCCATCCACAGATTACAACTCCTGATCCCAAAAAGCAGCCGTAAAAATAATAATAAAAGGAACATTTGCTAATATATTTGTTATTCTAACCAGAGTAATTCAATGAACCACTGAACCTGATCTCCAATCAGAAAGCTCGAGGTTCTAAATTCACAGAACTGACGGAAGTACCATGCCACGCATAAGATTGATCTTAGCATCTTCGGTATACAACTATATCCTACATACATACAGGCTACCTGCATGTACATATACTCACCTCCTTTTTCAATCCATTCACCAAAGGAAAATAGTCCAAAGCCCCCTTGGAATTTCGTGCCTTGCCACTTGGTTGTCCATATTTAAATAAGTTGTACTAAACTACTGATATGGCTGGCACAAATAACATCAAAGAAATACAAGTTACCATGTGGCTCGGTACAACAGAAGCCCTGTGCCAAAATCTGTCATACCCCAACTCCTACATCTACTTACTAAAAACCATTGTAAGAATGAAGTGCACGAGAGGACAGGGTTGTGTGAGATTTTTCATTTGGTGCTGATCAATGGATTGGTCCATAGCATCCTAAAAGCTTCTATTTGTGTTGATTTTTTGTTTCACAAAAAACCACAGAAATACTCCTTTATGACATTGGACAAATTAAGTTCTCCATGGGAGTAAAGTTCAATAAAAGAATGAACCTGACCGCCAATCAAAAGCCTTCAGGTCCTAATCCAAGAGGGTTGAAATGAACCTCCTTCTGGTCAAGTGCTCCGAACTTTTACAGCTTCTGACTAATCTCCATGCTGAGCAATTTACACATTTTCAAAAATCACCAAATCTTCTTGACAGAACTCATATGGAACCATATTTCCATATGCTCTGTTACAACTAACATACAACTAACAAAAGAAAATCATGTTTCACCTCTGTTTGGCCTTTCTATAAGTCATAGCACCCCGGCTTTAGAAAAGCAAGAAAAACCAGTTGCTTTTAAAAGTTGAATGCTTATGGGCCTTGCATTGTTAATTGCCCATGGTCGTTGAAGGTCCAGATCAGAAAAAATGTGGTTTAATGGCGTTTTTGCCTCTTGAAATATTAGAGTTGTAGCATATATTATCAATTTGGCCAATTCTAACATTAATGTATCATGTTTTAAATAAATATTGTCTTTCTTCTGTTTAATTTAACCTTTATTATTGAAAAAAACCTTCTTTAAAAAATTCAATTTTTGACATTTTGACTCAGAAATTTTCATAGATGCTAATTAAATTTCAATCTGTTTTTTTAAAATAACTTCAAAAATTTTTAAGATCAAGAAGCACTTTTAATTTTGCTTAAACATTAAAAGTATTAACAAAATTGAAAATAATTTAGAATGATCCCAAAATTTCATCAGGAGGCCTAAAGAAAAATCATATAATTTATCTGTTTAGTCTTAGTATGGTTCTCACAGGTATTTATATGATTGAATGCATAATGTCTAACCAAGCTTAAAATAGGTTAATTATGAGAACCATATATGTAAAAGTTCTGAGAACTGCATTAAAATTATATATGTAAATTCAAATGATTTTTTTAGAGCTTCAAACAAAAAAGAGAGATAATTCTATTTTATTTTCAATTTCTTATAATTTATTGAATTTTTATTTTTCAGAAAATAAAAAAATACTTTATATTCATAAAATTTTGAAATTATTTGTGAAAATGAATTGAATTTTAGTTAGCTTCTATGAAAAATTTCAATTCAATTGATAATACCAAAATTTGAATTTTTCAAAAAGAGTTTTTGATCAATACAAATAGTCAAATCAAATAAAGGGACAATATTTGCTCAGAACATAATAATTCAAAATCAAAATTACCCAAATGAACCGTTCAGGATCAAAAAAATATCATTAAACTAAAACAATGTCTTCCCAAACACTTTAAGAAAACGTGTCTAAAGTCATGGCATAAAACCAATGGAGCTTCACTGATACCGAGCAAGAAAGATTTCATGTTTCAATAAATATAAGTAGTCAATTGATGACAACAGTGCTCAAATCAATTGATTAATCAAATTCTAGCATACTAATTCTGCTACGAGCCTTGGGTGTTTGAGTTAAAAGAAAAAAAAAAAAACCACTGGGTTAACACACATGGTGCAGTGGACGCAAACTTGTTTGATAGCCACTTTTATTTTCTCCAAAATTTTACTTATAATGGGCATTATTTAAAGTAACGTGATAAAGGATGCAACCTAGGATTACTATGTTCAACTTACTAAAGACACAATATAGTCTATGATTGGAAACTGAGATACTCTGTCGTAAGCTACGTAATATAAGTGTGCTCAAATGATATTTACTTCTGCTAAAACACAGGCAATATTTCAAATTTAGTGTATGATACGTGAAAGATTCCATTGCTACAAACATCAAAATTTGTATGGTTGATCAGAAAGCACAGGAAATTTTTAGAACTAAACTCCCACAACATCACAATGGGTTGAGAGTCAATTTTCCAAGCTCAAGTCATCATTGGAATTCTCTACTTATGTTTATATAAATTCATCTGAATAGCCCAAGTCATATGCATAAGACTGCCACGTTTCTCTACATATAAAAAGATCGAGAAACAAAAAGACAATGCTTCATAAGCACAATATCCTAGACGGCCTTCCATGTTCAATTTCTACTAAACTAATTAAATAAAAATTCATATATCAGTGACAACTATATCAAAAAATGGCATAAAAAGTAAAGTGATAAAAACAACACACAGACACAGAGATAATTTGGGGACAGTCATGTACCAGTTCGTAAATTGAATGCAGCAGCAGCATCAACCATCAACCATCAATTCAGATGATGAAATAAGCTTCATTATGGAGGAAGTTAGACAAACAAATAGCAGGGAGCCTATTACTCACACTACACTGTCCATAAAACAGCCCATTGCATCCATGCTATTGATTGAACTATAGCCTTGCCCTCATATGTTACCCCCATAACTCAAACCTTTTCTTGTCATTCTCAATTATGTAATTCTTTCATATCTATTCAGACCATCCAAGTTTCACTAATAAATGAAATGCCCTCAGCATTCACCCACTATAAAAAATCCTCATCTTCAAATTCAATTTCGTCATATTCACTATCATATAACGAATAATCCTGCTCATCCTCTTCTTCCCCTTCCGAAAACGCTGAAATCCTCAGGCCATTAAATCCAGACCTTGCCATTACAAGTTCATCAACAAATTCCTCCAAATCCCTCCCTCCACAATCACCATCCTCATCAAAATCCGTAACCGAAAACAACCCATCATCCGTTTCCAAATCCTCACTCCTCCTCCTACCTTTGGGCACCAAATCTTTCTCAGTCAGCTCCCCATTCTCAACCCCAATCCATGGAACCCACAAATCCGCATGTCCCCCCAATGCTCCATCTCTGTCCCCCACTACAACAGTCCCCAAATTCGCCTCCCTCGCCTTCCTTAAAATCTCTGAAAAATCGGAATCATCTGAAACCAAAACCAACCAATCCACTCCTCTACTCATTGAATGCTCAATTTGTCTCTTCAATGCCCAATCTGCAGCTTGTGGCTTATCCTCCACTGTCTTCACATAAACCCCAGCTCTCTTCAACTCCGCGGCTAACCCATACCCAACTTTCGGAGTTAACAACCTCCTTGCTTCCTCGTTATACTTATAATTCCCAGATACAAACCTCTCCTTAAATCGCTGCCGTTTTTTCCCTTTCAATGACCGCATTCTATTCAACTTCTTCTGTCTTTCCCTCTCATGTAATTGCTTAAAATGCTTCTTCAAATCCAAATTAGTCTTACATTTGCGCCCACAAACACCGCAGATATAAGGCTGTGAAGGACTTACCATTCCTTTTCTCTCCAAAATGTTTAGCTGTTTTCTCTCACGCCTTTCTTCAACCACCCAGTGCGGCAAATGAATAAACGCGTGTCGGTTAGCGTATGCACACATGTCGATTACTTCACCGAATTTTTGTGCTACTGTTTTCAATCCTATTGCTGCTGGGTATGGTGGCCCACGTGGGGGTTTGTTGTCGAGGTCCCATAAAACCACGACTTTGTTCTGTTTTGATGTGTAGATTCCCTGTCTGTTTCTTACCATGTCGATTTCGGAAGTTGCGGCGGGGTGATTGGCGGTGGCGGTGATTGGGCGGAGGTGGTTTGGTGGAGGTTTTGAAGTGAGAGTGAGTTCGTTTTTGTTGAGGGGGTGTTTGAGGTTAGGGGTGTAATTGAGAGAGCGGGAGAAGTTGAAGGGGGTTTTGTGGAGGAGAATTGAGGGTTTTAGTAAAGAAGTGGTGGTGGTGTCTATGATTTTGCAGAGAGAAGTCATAGCTCATTTGTGAATTGTGGAGAGATCACTCACACTCGCTAGTCAGTCTCTGAATTCCTCTGATATTTTTGGATTTGGTGAGCGAGCAGCACCAACAAGATTTGGCTATTTGGGATAAAGAGAGTAGATAAATTAAACCGGGCTTCAATAGATTATGCTGTATTTAGAAAATGGGCTCTAAACATAAAAATGTCAAATGGGCTGTTAACAGTAAAAAAAGCCCAACTGGGATTTCATTTTGTTTTTGGGCTTTCAGCAAAATGCGATTCCTAGTATTTTATTATTTTTTTTGCTTGTGAAGAAACTAATGCTGTTCGAATCCAGAACAATGTCAACTTTTGATAAGTTATATATAGTGGGACAAAGGTTATCCACCCTTCCTTGCAAAATCATTGTATTAACTATATATCACAGAATAGGTTTCCTGATTTCCCAATTGTTGAGAGGTGAGGCTATTGGTAGGTATTACAATGATTGAGTAATGTATTCATTGAACTAATTAGTATCTGGAAGTTTAGATTCTCTCTCACCAAATATGCTGATCTTCTATCAAAAATTTATTCATTTCTGCGTGTTTAAACCCTTAATTAAATTTTGTGCTGACGCAATGTCAACGTTTGATGACATATCAATTTTGTATGTTAGGTTAGTCCCAGATTATCCTCTCAGACAACCCCTCAAAAAACCAATGATTTGTTCTGTTAACCCTTGTCTGCAACAAGTGTGACAATATGAGATCAATGAGCTCTTACTTCGATGGTTTTGCCTGGTGAATGTTGATTCTTCTATATAAAAAAAAGGGGGCTTTTATTTCCAATTGATTATCGCACTGGTGACTAACTCTTTTCTTTTTTATTGGCTTATCTTTCACTCCTTTTTTTTTTTTTTTCCTTTCTTTTCCTTTATAAAAAGCCCTTCCCATCGCCATAGCTCACTTTTTCCAAGTCATCTTTAATTTTAGACATGTTTCGATGACTATAACTCTGATTGATTTACTGGAGATTCTAACATGGTTTCATGTTTATGCCGTACAACATCCATGACTAATAGGAATGAATAACTTGCCCTACCAAAAACTGATTATGACAATCTTGATATATATATATATATATATATATATATATAGGAATGAATAACTTGCCCTACCAAAAACTGATTATGACAATCTTGATATATATATATATATATATATATATATATATATATATATATATATATATATATAACCTCCTTTTTAAGCTTAATAATGGAAATGAAACATATAGAGGTACCAACCAGGTACATATGCCTTGAACATAATGCCAAGACAGTAATGCCTATGTTACAAGTAGTTTTTCTCTTATCTGTTTAACCAGTCATTGTTGTTCATATTGTCGCAGCAACAAAGGATCACTTCCAACTTTGGTTTCTCTATTGTCATTATCCCCTTCAATCATGGCAATTATCTTAAGGGATATGATAATATAACTTTTTTCACAACAACTACCAAACAGGATAATTGTTTATTAATCAGATGGTTGCTATTATTTTTAAAATTGATGCAGGGGCTTGAATGATAACCAATTAACTTTCTTCGGTGGGCTCGCTGTGAATGAATTATGGTTAGGGAGGCCGAAGCATAGGCTGATCATTGTAGGAATCCTATAAATTAAAGTTCTTTAATATGCATGGTTGTGTGTGTGTATATATTTGAAAATACCTGCAAAAAAACAAAACGCAAATTGGAATAAGCTCATTTCATCTGATTCTGACAATTGAACAAATAAGCTCCTTTTATTTGGTTTAAACCCAGCTACTCTCATCTACGGAAAAAAAAGCTTCAAAGTACCCATTCTCTGCATAACAAGCTACCATCATTGTCCCAAAAACCATATCCTTGTATTCAATCGCATTAAAAACTTGTCTTGCAGATTCAACACACCCACAAACAAAGTAACAATCAATTAATGCAGTACCAACAAAAATATTAGACTCAAAATCAAGCTTACAAGGATAAGCACGAGACTAAACCCCAATTCACGACAGCCGGTCACCTCTTTCTTTTTTATTTGGTCTGCAGTATAAGTCACTATGCACCACATAACCCGTTAGGGTTATTTATTTATTTTTTTTCAATTCTAATTTATTTACGTTATAAATAGAGACAATATAATTTTTATTTATAAACTATCACTTCATCAAACCTAAAAAGAAATCTTAATAAAGTCTTAGAGTAATCACAATTAACAAATTATATAAATCTCTTTGTATTAAGTAATTATTTTTTGTATTTCTACTCTATTATTTTGTTTGGTTTGTTTTATAATACGAACAACATTAACGACCCTTTATTCTCTCTTTTTCTCTGTTATAAAAAAGAAAAAAAAATCAATTATGCCTATTTTTTTATTTTCATTTTTTTTTGTTTTTTCAATTTATTTATCACTTGATGATTTTATTTAACATGATATTATATGTATTAAAATTTTAAATACATGTCATATTTGCTAAGAAAATTATCCAAAAAACAATTAAAAAAGCTACATTAAGAAAATTTAAGAAATAAAGAAATGTGATAAAAATTTAAAAATAGAAAAATATATTAAAAAATTAAGAATAAAGAGACTTTCCATGCCATTAATCCGACCACCAAAAGCCATCATCGTTGAAAAATAAAAACAGGATTCAATACAGGAATTTTCTATGCTCCATCTTCTTAGACAACGTCCACATCTCTATTTGGAAAGAAACCAAACTGACATCTGGCTTCTTGATCCCAGCATAAAGATTAAACATGGTCAGAGTTAGACTTTTATTTTTATTTTCTTTATAATAAAACAAGATAAACAATTAGTCTTTAGAAATGGGGGTTAGATCGCTGCAATTTACAATACTAACTTTATAAGTAGTTAGTTAAATATTAGGATTGGTCCTAATTAAACCTTTAAGTTGTCAAAACGAAGGCTATAGAAGTCTTGCGGGAAAGAAGCGTTTTTACAATTCCAAGCCCCTGCATCCACTTTCACCTCTCACTCCTAGTCAGTTTGGAAAAGGGTCAATTGAATTATAAATATATTAATTTTTGAAGTTTTTAAAATCAAGTACATATATTTAACTTTTTTAGTTTTAAGTATATTAATATTTTTAAAACTATCAATTTGTTATAAAAGAAATGGTAACAATAATAGAATTGAAAAAAAATAATGAAAAAATAATTTCCTATAAAATAAAGAGAATACAAAAGATAACAACTCCAAATAATTCTCCTTATCTTTATAAAATACTTATCCATAAACTAATAAACAATCAAACCTATTTATAGGATGAGAATTAGAAAGGACTATAAACCATTAAAAGTACATAAATTTTTGAATTAATTGTATCATTTTTTTAATTTTTCATATTAAATAGTGAATTGAATCACATTAAGAATTATGAGTAGTAGAAATATGAAAAGCATATGAATATTCATATGGACATTCATTATTTTATAACACTCCTCCTTAAATGTCTATTGTACAAGGAACATGCCTCGTTAAAACCTTACTAGAAAATAACCCGAGTGGAAAAAAAAATCCTAATAAAGGAAAACGAGTACAATATTTCTTGTATGCATTAATCTCAATGTTAGACTCTCCATGTTGAAAACATCGTTTAAGATCTTTAAGACAATGTATCTCGGTCTTATGAACCATTTTTTTAAAAAATGTGATAGGTAATAGCTTAACGAATATGTCCGTCGAATTGTCACTTTAATATATTCTTTCTTTAATTAAATTATGCAAGCAACATTATCTTCATATAATATTGTTGAAACTTCTTCTGTCGCTAGATAAACCGCACGTCCCTCGGATATGATGGATCGTTGATCTTAGTTAAATACATTCTTGACTTGCCTCATGAATTAGTATTTATGCATTGTTTGAATATCTAGCGGCTATAGTTTGCTTCATAGAACAACATGATATATTTATATCACCAAGTGTAAATACATAACCCATTTGTGATCGAGTTTTGTATGGATCAAATAAATAACATGCATTTGTATAACCAATTAAAACTAACTTTGATTTATTTGAATAAAATAAACACCATATCAATTTTTCCTCGGATATAACATAGGAAATGTTTAATTCCATTCCAATGACTCCGTATTAACGTATAACTATGATTTACTAATAAATTTATAGAAAATGTTATATTAGATCGAGTATTATTAGTAAGATATATGAATGTACCGAGTAGCACTAAGATATGATACTTCATGACTAAATAGTTTTTTTTATCTTCTCGAGATCGAAAAAGATCTTTTTAGATATTAAGTGAATGAACTACTACTTGGACTAACCAATGGATGATCTTTATATAGAATCATTATAGAACTTTTTCTATATAGATTAACTAACGAATAAACGAATAAAAATCTCATTCTCTAAGTTCTCAAACTACGAGTCAAGATAAAATTTTATTTTTCTAAGGTATTTCATATCAAATTTTCTTTTTAGATAACTTTCGGCATTTGACATCTCTTTAGAAGCTCTAATAATATTTAAATCATCAACATATACGGTAATTATCATAAATTTCTTTTCGAATTTGTACAAAAATACAAAAATAAATATGGTTATTTTTGTAATCTTCTTTCAATAAATATTTATTGAAATGATTATACAACATGCACATAAGTTAATAATAAAGAGTATGTATTAAAAAATAATAAATAAATAAATATAAAAAGTATAGCCTAAATTGGATTTCTAAAAATGAATATAATAAAATATATAAAACAATTCGATAGAGATTTCTATAATTTAATTACATGTATTTTTTCAAAAATATATATACATGCTTCGAGAATCTTAAGTCCTTTTAAGACTTTCATATAAATATCATTTTCAACTCGAACAAATAAGTTATGATCATATCTATTAAATACATACATATAAAGTTTTTCACATATTTTATCGGACTAATGAGATAACAAAATGTAATTACATTTATTATAAAAGAATGCATCTCCA